AAGTACTTCTAATCAGAAGGCCGGGCTTGCAGATCCTCCCAAGCCAGTAAATTCAATGATCTCACTGTCCCTCAGAAGAGTTTCCTCTCGTCCTCTCTGCAGCCTTGCACATGTAGCGCTTGACAATGGGTTTAACGTGACTGTGGATTTTTACTCCGTATCTGAGAATGGCAATGAGCAGCCCTGACCTTTGCCATGGGGCCTTTTCCTGTCGTCCATTTTACGCCCACGCGTGTCTCTGGCACGCACACATCTGGCATGTCGCAGTCTGACCCTGCCCGTACCACTACTTGAAATGACAGCCAAAATACTTTCCAAATACCGCGGTTTGCCTGCATGCCTCCCAAGTGCTCCTCGTTCAGGGCGGCCTGCGTCTTAGTCTCAAATGGGCCTGCGCCCCGTACAGACCGGCTGTGATATCTCTTGTTATTGTCAACTATTTGCAGAAGCTGTGTTGGCTCAGTGACACTTTTAATTGTTCTAGATTTACACATCACACGTATCATGTGTAACAAGAGTTACACGTTTAATTTAACTTTAGAGTTACACTTTTAATTGTTTGTTTCCTTTATTTTTCTGCCTTCCCCCTCTTGTTTTTGTGTCTCAGACTTCAGCAGGTAGAGCCAGATGTTTTCACCCACGCGTATCACCAGCCTGTTGGGATCTTGCCATGGGCTCATCTACTTCAGTGGCAACTATTCCCAGTTGGGGCCCTCTGAGAAGCCAGTCTTAAGGCATGCTGGTAAAGGCCTCGCTCTGTAATCAAGTTAAAAGTGTAGAAGGATTCCTCCATTTGGGTGGAGCCCAAATGGGTTTTGCAGGGATACAGGCATCCAAGCCAGTTGAGCAGCTTTAAGAAGCACACCTGGAGGTTCTCTGGGGCCATGATGTGCTTTTGAAAGGAGCTCACAGGGAGTAGCTGAAGTGCTGATCAGAAGAGATTTAGGTTGCTGAATCAGTGCAGGGTGATGTAGGGGAAATTCTCCTAGGGTCAGGACAGTTTGACACCGGTATACTTCACACCGGTTCTGTGTCCTAACGTAAATGACGCTGGTATCTGGAGCAGATCAATGTGTAGGTATATTGTGGCGGCTGTTGACGGCTGTTAAAATGCCTTGTGTGTAGCTGGAAGGGGAGTAGGTAATAGCCTGTCTGCTTTAAAGAAATGGCTACTTCAGGGTAAGTTGTAGCCATACAACACCTCCTTCAATGTAACTTAAAACTGATAACATTTTCCCTCTGTCTTTTCAGCAGGAATTCTTCACTGAGATGGGCATATTTTGGGTTCAATTTTACAAAAAAGGCTTGTCATTTTAGCTCCTAGCATTGTATTCCTATTTGGTCCTATAGCATGAAAAAAGCAGTTCCTGCAGAAGCCTCGGTGGTTTATAGCTGAGTGAGACCTATTCGATCATTGAGGTCATTACCCTGCAAGAGAGGATGTAGCTGATATTAAATTGATCTTACTTTTGAACTAAGCCAAAAAGCCATTTCAGCGTCATTTAACAGTGGCATGGGATAGCACTCTGCTCTCTGTCCCCTTTTTAGATTTTGGAGGACATGCAGATTTTGCTGAGTACTAGTGAGCAATAATGACGCTCCAAAAGGAGCATCCTCCTTTGTTTGGGAATGCTGATGTGTTGTCAACTCTTGTAATACTTGCTGTTTTTTCTGAAAGTACTAGCTCTTGGAGTCAGGTGATTTTGGATTACGGATCTCCTGCTTGTAGGGGGAAGCTTGTAAACATGAACTCCAGAGGCTGAAAAAACAGAAGGCCAATTAAAAAAGAAAGGTATTATTATTTTTAAACATCTCATTATTTTTAATAATCTCATCATTTTGGAGGTCTAACTTGTGATTATTTTTAATCCATATGGCTGGCAGTACTGAAAGAGAGATGATTATATGGGTTTGGAAGTCCTTACACTGAAAGCAGCGTTCATCTGTAAATGATATTGCACTGCACCACCGATGATGAGGCAGCTACACATCATAAATCTTGATCCTTTCTTACACTCACCTCCTGCTTTACTTGTGGCAAGTTGGGGGGGGGTGTCTTATGGTTTTTGGGCACCATGCCTGGAAGTTGGAGGTGAGGGTTGCTCATGCAGTTTTAAAGAACAGGTCAGGCAGACACTTGCATAGGATGGTTTAGATAGAGATGATCCTGTCTTGAGCGGGAAGTTGGGCTAGATGATTTGCTGAGGTCCCTTGCAGCCCTGCTTTTCTATGATTTTATGGTTAAGCATGTGAGTTGCTCCAGTGACTGCTTGCATTTGAAACTTTCCACATCCTTTTCTCAAACAGCAAGCAGTTTTCAATGTGAAAATAGAAACCAGAATGCTTCCTCCCCTGAATTTGTCCTCATTTTCTCACAGGTTTCTACAAGCATTGTGTGTCCAGCTCTATCTGCTCTACTGCTGGCTGTTCTGTGCAATAGAGCAGCACTTTCTATTTCTGTTATTGAAAATGAAAAGGAAGTATACCTCTGTACCTAATTAAGAGATGCTTTGGTCTGCTTTTTTTTAAACTCTTTCTTTCTGAAGTGATTTGAGATTTGCAGGTAGAAAAAGTGCCATATATTGCACAGTATTCTTATTTTAGGCCCCTGTTCACCCCCATTGTTTTAAAGCCTGCAGATTTAACGGAGACCCTCATAAATGGTGAATCAGCAAAACACGAGGAAGGAAAAGTTAAAGAAACTAAAACCTACATTATTTCAGGTGCTCTCTTGTTCATTGTTGCCGAGTCTTGCAGTTTTGTTATGAGTCTCATGATGGCTGGTGTTTCATTTAAAGCCCTTGCTACTACAGACAAGTCATTAAATGAGACTCTCAGCTTTCCTTTAAAAAGTGCTTTTTTAGTCCCCACGTTGGGGAGAGATGCTTGAAAATGTGACCCAAAATGGCTCGGAAAGTATGAAAGTAACTCTGATTTAAAAAAAAAATGCCTACAAATTTTTAAGACAATTTTTCAGACTTAAGACATTTGAATACTCAGGTTTGGCTATTTGGAACAGATCGTCTCCATGCCTCATCCCGTGCCTGGGTCAGATATTTTAAAGGCCAGTTTTATGCATGCAGAAGGTTCAAAGCTCTGCATCAGCAACCTATAAAGATGTCAGCAGGGTGCTAAGTCCCTCACACTGCCCAGGACAGTTTGTCCTAAAAAAAAAGATAGGACTAAACTAATTCAAGACCTGGACTAGGAGCAATGGCCTCAAGCTGCAGCAGGGGAAATTTAGAGATTAGATGGTTATCGTTGCATTCAAGATAAATCTCTACATGTAGAGATTAGCAGGAGCTTTCTGACGATGAAGGAGGTCAGGCATTGGAGCAGGCTGCCTAGAAAAGCCGAGGAGTCGCCGTGCTTCAGATCTTCCAAGCTCCTGGCTGGGATGAATTAGGACGGATCCCGCCTTGATTGGGGGGCCTGGACTAGATGACCCTGTGAGGTCCTTTCCAGCCCTACTTTCCTATGATCCTAAAGGCACTGAGTGGTGGGGAATGGCCGGCAGGGCGTAGGTGACAGCGGCCATCTCAACCGGTTGTTCAGTACTTCGGCTGCTTAGCATTTGTGTTGCACTTCATCCGTGAAGAAACCCCCCAAACTCCTTTAAACACATAAAATCATAGAGAAGTAAGGCCAAAAAAAACCCTCCAGTGGTCAACCAGTCCAGCCTGGTGCCTGAAGAAGGAAGGATCATCCCCCTCCAAACCTTCCTATACACTCAACACTACATAAGATTAAACCCTCCCAAACCTTCCTATACAGGAAACCCTACATAAGTGTAAACCTACTCCAAGCCTTCCAGTACACGAAACACTACATGAGATTAAACCCTCTCCAAACCTTCCTATACACTACATAACTATCAGCACCGACACAGCATAGACTGTCACAGGTGAAACCGGGGAACCACAGCCGCCACCGTCCTGCTTGTATGCCAGGTCGTCTACGTGTAGATGTTAGGGCCCAAAGGGATCTGGCGAGATGATCGGGTCCAGCCCCTGCCCAAGGGGCGGGAGGTCGGCGGGGGTCACAGGATCCTGGCGAGATCAGCATCCAGATGTTTCTGGAAGAGGTCCAGAGTCGGCGCTTGCACCAGCACCGGGGGGTCTGTTCTGGGCCTTGGGGATGTGGACAGTAAAGCAGTTTGTCCTTGTGTCCAGTCTAAAATGCTCTTCCAGCACTTTGTGACCGTGGGGCCTTGTCTTCCCCTGGGGTGCCCTGGCGCGCAGGTGTCCCCCCTGACCCCGATGTACTTAGAGGCGGCCACCAAGTCTCAAGAGGTCCCGAATAAAGGGCCGGGCCCTGCTACGAAGCAAGGCAATCCCAACCCCGAATCCGGTGGGGCGGCCATCCCAGAGGCCAGTCCGATTGTCCCCGTCCTCTACTGCTACAAAACCGGACGCCTGCATGTCCTCTGTTTTTCTCTAGGACGAGGGGTTTTTTTCCTCCCCCAGCCTTCCTTCTCCAAACGAAAAATGGCGGGCATGGGTTTCGTATCAACCGCGATGCCCACCCACAAACCAGCAGAGGGGGCAAGGCCACGGGCACAACCCAAAATCCCCCCCATTCCTGCCCCCTGTGAGGGAGACGTGAAAACCCCCAAACGCGTGGGAGACCTTCCCTAGGCCCAGTCACCTCGGACACGATGATTGGGTTTGAATCCCCTCGCTGTTGGCGTGTGAGGCAGGATTTTGCGCCTATTTTACAGATGGGAAAACTGAGGCCGCCGAAGCGGGGGGAGCGGGCAGGGCCCTGGGGAGGGCGGGGCGTGGGGCTGGTGTGTCACGTGCCCCTGGGGCGCCTTCCCGGCGTGCCTCGCGCGGCGGCAGGCGAGAACTCCATTTCCCAGGCGCCCCCGCGGCGCAGGCCCCCGCCCCCTCCCCGTGGCGGCGGCGGCGGAGGTAAACAAACGGCGGGCGGGCTG